TGTTTAATTATCTGCGAGCGCCTTCGACAGCTCCGGTCTATCGGTTGGTCAGATCGACCAAATGAAATTAATTTCAGCTTTTCATAGTGGGAAATAACTTGCGACTTCAACTTTCTGCGCGGCATTAGCTGGCTTAGTTGTTGTTTTTCTGTCGGGTATTGAGATATATATAATTGAGAAAGGTTAATGCAGTCAAGCTGCTGGAAAATAATTCCGTGAAAATCAAAAGATAAATAGATAAGTACTTTTCTTATCATTCCCATATTGATTTCAATTTAAGAGCCAGCCAGCCTATTGCCCAACAGGCTGAAACAGCTGTCTACCGGTGGCTCTTAAATTGAAATCAATTTGGGAATAATCTGATCAGAAAAGTACTTATCTATTTATCTATAAGTACTTTTCTGATCATTCCCATATTGATTTCATTGACATGGAAACAGCATGAAGTTCAACTGAACACTAACCGTTTTTGACCAATGAAATGCTAATTTCTTCTCACATTATCATAGTAGGCATCATAAGTATTGTTGGAATTTTCTTCTAGGGGTAACTTAGGATAAATTATAGTGGAAATTTTTTTGGCATAACAAAATAATTCATAAACTTTCTACTTCAATTTTAACGAGATTCCTATGGCTAGTATTGAATCAAATAAGCATATGAATGTCTTAACATACTGTCGTAACTCGTACTTTGATTTAAATTCTGAGAGCTAAAAACAATTACGATTTTTCTGATAGTAAATGAATAATAGCGACAAGAATAACATTCCTGGAATTCAGCTCGATTTCAGATTGGATTGGAAATCTACATTAGCTACTTTGTCAGAAAATATTGTAATATAATGAGTCATCACTATTTTTGTCTACTATGCTCAAGTTCACTCAACATTCAAATAAGGTTTAACCAATATAATAACTTGTTGAAATAATATTTTTACTTCAGATTTACCTGACTAGTAGATAAGGCAACATTGTGAAATCGATTTTAAGACAATTAAGACCCAGCTACCTAGCAGAGGTAACTAAGGTATAAATAAGGACAACATTGCATACAGATTTAGTTTAATAACTTGGTGATTATATTCATTTAAATTTTTTCGTTTCATGATACTTTCAACAGTATAGCCAATATAACTCAATTTTCAAAACATCCATACAAAAATGTTCATACCTGGAAATGAAACCCAATTCACTTTGAAACTGTGTTATAAACAATTTTTCATAACTTTGGTTACCGACTACCATCTGCCAAAATATTTCAGTAGAGTCAATCATGACATATCTAAAATTCCAGTAAAATACTCAAAAATGCCATTTGTAAATGGACACCTCACAGGATCAATTACTTAGACCATCTGAGGATCTGACCCTTGCATCAAGAGGGTATCGATTGCTGCGAAAATTAGGAGAAGGCTCCTACGCCAGAGTCTATTTGGCAGAATTCATAGGGACTACACCAAACGATGAGAAAGAAAAAGCCAATAAACTACTAGCATGCAAAATTGTAGATGTGAGTAAGGCACCCAAGGATTTCGTGAAGAAATTTTTACCAAGAGAACTGGACATTCTGGTTCGCATCAGTCACCCTCACATCATTCACATCCACAGCATATTCCAAAGAAAAACTAAGTACTTTATATTCATGAGACATGCTGAAAATGGAGATCTGTTAGAGTTCATTCTCAAAAAAGGGCCCATTTCCGAAGCACAGAGCAGGGTGTGGATGCGTCAAATATGCCTCGCTGTCCAGTATTTACATGACATGGAAATAGCACATCGTGATCTCAAATGTGAAAACGCCCTTATCACCAGCAACTACAATTTAAAGCTGGCAGACTTTGGTTTTGCACGCTTCACAATAGACAGTCATGGCCGCAAATTAACGAGCACTACATATTGTGGTTCTTTGTCATATGCAGCTCCAGAAATCCTGAGAGGAATGCCATATCACCCTAAAATTGCCGATATCTGGTCTCTAGGAATCATTCTCTATATAATGATTAACAAAGCAATGCCTTTTGATGACACTAATGTCAAGAGACTCCACGAGCAACAAGTCAATCGTCGTTGGAAGTTTAGAACAAAAGTCATAGACAACTTAAGCGAGGCTATAAAACAAGTAGTGATACATTTGTTGGAGCCAGATATAATAAAGCGCTGGAAAGTAGAACAAGTTTTATCATCAGAATGGATGGCAATGGATCCACGATTGGCGCAACTGACAACTGCAGAAGAAGGTGCCTTGGCTCAAGCGCAAGTGGAGAGAAAGGCATACATAGATAAACTGTCACGAAAGCAGAGTTTAGGTGAAAAGAAAGTTGCACAAATAGAAGATGTAAAATGGCTCAAAGCAGGACTACATGAAGATACAACAAAAAAAAATGCAAGTGACATAAACGTAGAAAAAGCATCCGTTGAAAACCCAACTGCTACTACTTAAAAGTCATTCAAAAGATTCCAAGTACGTACTACAAACTTTTTATTAACGAAAATTAAAACAATTACTTAGAACTCCTGAGTTCCTCATCAAATTTTTCCAACGTTACATCACATAATTTAGCTAAATCTTCAAGTCCACGTTTGAGAGCGTCAACAGCTTTTCCTTTCGTCATTTGTATCCTGAAATTCATTGTAGCTTCAGCTGGATGTGGAAGTGTGTAACAACATAACTGCACATCTGGACTGAAAAAAAAATAAATGTAATTTCAAAGTTAGTGGATTAAAGATGGGAATTAGGGAACGGAAAATAATACTCACTAAGTAGATATGATGCTACGTAAGGCATTGCCAAGTGTATGTCCTTCATTATTGAAAACAAATGTTTTGGATCTCGCAGTATCGCTTGATACATCGCTTCCTGCTAACTGAAATTGACAAACAAAAAATTATTCGAGTCCTAATGATCCAGTTTTAGTATATGACAAATAATCATTGACGATAGAGTTTGTAGCTTGATAATTGCATTTGCTTTGTAATTCTCTTTTTCTTTAGGCTGATTTGTACAATCTGCCTTATTTTCTGATAACGTGCTATTTGTTTGATCAATCTGGTATTTGATTTGGAATAATAAACCATCCAATTCTTCTTGAGTTACCAAATTTTCAGGAATTTTTTGAGAGTCTGTGAATTCACTAAAATCACGAGATATTTTTTCTTTCAGTTCATTCAACTTATCTGAAATATCGTCCATTTGAAATTGTAACTTATGAGAATCTGAATTCACCGAAATAGCAATCAATTCATTCAATTTATCTGAAATGTCTTCCGTATGTGTCCGATATATGAAATTTATTTGATAGCCTGAAAAGCCAAATACATAATAATATCATATAAGAGGGAAAATGTCTCACCTGAGATATAGGCATATCGTTTATTGTATTCCAGTGATCAATACCAAACTTTCAAACATCCAACCTCTTCTTTCTCTCGAGTTTTAACGTTTAAAAACTTCTGAAAATTTAGAAAACGAATAACTTAAATAACTAACCAACTTGCGAAATTGTTCAATTCCGTCTTCTTTTCTTTGCGTCAACTCGTAGGGCCATCATCCATCTTCTATTCGAAAGAGCAATTGTCACAAGCTGACGGTGCGGTGCATTCTTCAAAGGAAAGAATAGGGAACAGAACATGCATATGTTTCAGTTTCAAAATATTTTGGTTTCATCAAGTACATTCCCCCTATGGATCTGTGAAAACTGGATGAAATTACAAATAAAACTATAATTTTTCATGATACAAAATTGAAAATGTCGATTATTCAATTCCCTCAAAAAATGAACCCCTTGCGTGAGTGTGGGGACTGCGTCTTGATTTCAAACAGGTTGGAGCCTGGCTCCCTTACCCTTTGGACTGATAAGTGTGGGGGTTCGAATTTTCAATTGACCTTATCACAGATTAAGTAATTTATTAATCTGTGACCTTTTTAAGTAATGCCACCCCATGGTTGCCAACTGCGGTAAAATAATGACATTTGACAATTTGACATTTATGATGCACTGTTTGGAACCTTTGGTGTAGTAATAAATATTACTGGAGTTTTTCCCTACACCAAATCGTTATTTTTAACACCTCGACACGTGTTTCGATCACCAAGTGACCATCTTCAAGAAAAATATTAATCTTCCACTTGAAGATGATCACTTGGTGATCGAAACACGTGTCGAGGTGTTAAAAATAACGATTTGGTGTTGGGAAGAACTCCAGTATTATTCAATATATCATTTCGAAATTTGCTAATAAATAAATAACCTATCTTTCTGAGTTCCTTTTGCATTTTCATTTTTGGTAAATGAGAAACTGATTTCCAGAATATGGCCGAAAAGAGATTTCCAGTCGTCCTATATGAAGTTGGGGCTCCAGAATGAAGAATTAGCTATGAAGAAATATAAGATGGGCTGTCACAAAAATGAAAATGCAGAAGGAACTCAGAAAGATAAGTTATTTATTCACTAGGAAATGTGAAATTGTCAAATGTCATTATTTTACCGCAGTTGGCAAGCATGGGTCACATCACTTAATAAGGTCAATTCGAACTGCATTAACTGGTTGGCTCCAACCTGTTTGAAATCAAGATGACGTGCAGGCGTTAACTGGAGTTGGCATGTCGAGTTTACCTTGACCCCCGTATCTATACTGTGCCTTGACTCACCTATAGTGTCACCAGAGTATAGCTAAAACGTGTCACTTCCACTTCACTTGTCATGTGTCACCTGGCAGATGGTAGTGTGAAGTTGACTGCTAATGTTAACTGCTAAAATTTCCGAATACTTCCGAACGTTCAGTAGCGTTCATGTCATGAATAAACTTCTGAAATTTCACAAATAGATTTCTATATTACATAATCCTTAAAAAAGTGGAGGACGAAAATTCATTTTTGAATAATATCATTTATTTGAACATTTTATCCGGTCGAATGCGCCTGATTAAGGAAGCAACGACCATAAACTGAAAGAGAAGAACATCTTGTGCATATTATGTTTGCAGATTAAATGTATGCGAATATATGTTGTGGAATTGGCCGCGGTGGTAGTGCGCCCGACTCACGATCGGAAGGTCGTGGGTTTGATTCCTGCCTCGACCAATTATTTTTCTCGATAGAATTTATCTGGTTGAAGCTGGGCGATGATTCTGCAACCGTGTTAGGAAACACACGTTAAAAGGTAAGACCTCGTTAGTCCTTAGCTCGCATAAGTTTCTCAACTTCTGAGAGTTGTCGTTCGTATGGGGGAGAAAACTGATTAACGAAAAAACAGATTTTTTTTTTTCAAAATGAACAGGTGGAACGAGAAAATCAAAATTGATTGACTTTAATGTTTACAATGTTGACTGATTTTTTCCATATATATTTCAGTTTGTTAAATACTATGCACAAAATTCAGCAACAAAAATATATTGAGAAATATGGAATCATCTTGTAATAATCGCTTGGAAAATATAATAAAGTTGGCGCTTTTGTCATACATAATTCAGTTTCAGTAATATATAAAGAATCATGAAATAACAATAGTAGAAAACAACCACCCTGAATTAATCGCTTGGAAAATAGGTTCAGGTGGAAAAAATGAATGAAGTCGACTGTTTTCATGTATAATTCAGTTTTTTGTATACTCTGACAATATTTAGCAAAGGAAATATATAGAGAATCATGGAATAACAATAGAAGAAAACAACCACCCTGAAATAATCGCTTGGAAAATAAGTTTACGAAGTGAAAAAAATCAATTTAGTTGACTGATTTTTTCCATATATAATTCAGTTTCTTATATACTCCGCAAAAAATCATCAGCTCAACTTTATTAACTTATTCCACCTATAATTTTATTTTGAGGAACTGAATCATATATGGAAAAATCAGAGCGTTTAATTAATTTTTTTCACCTTGTTAACCTTGTTTTCACCTTATTCCAAATGATTATTTCAGGGTGGTTGTTTTCTACTATTGGTATTGCATGTTTCTCAATATATTTCCGTTGCTGAATTTTGTGCAGAATATATAAGAAACTGAATTATTAATGTAAAAAAATCAGTCAACATAGTAAACTTAATCGATAACAATCAATTTTGTTCTTCTCGTTCCTCTTATTCATTTTGATAAGTCTGCATACATTTAATCTCTACTGAACAAAATGTTCAATATATGATATTATTTAGGAGTGAATTTTTGCACTCTGTTCTTTGAAGGGGGATATACAAAGAGCTATCTGTGAAATTTCATAAGTTTATTCATCATGAAATAAAAATTATCAATTATACCTTTCATTCCGTACTCCACTGAACTTTCGGAAATTTTGGCATCTAACATTAGCAGCCAACTTCATATTAATCTGCCAGATAGTACTATATTTTTAGGTAAAGGGTATACTTTTTAGAAAATAGAAATTCAAAATTAGTAGTATTGGAATTACAAACTTGGTTATTATATATCAGGAATATTATCAAGGTATCAATTATATTGACATATAATCAATTTTCAGTTTTTTAACTACAGCTGAAGATATTAAACTACAGATTATGTAATGAGCATTGCATTTTCATTTCAGAAAATTTACAATGGGTCACGGTTTCGGACAGTTATTCAAGCTTAGAGGAATAATCACCTACAGAATATCTCCCTTCGAACAAAAAGCATTTGCTGGTGTCATTTCTCATGGATTCCCGAACACTATTAGAAGAATTTCCGAGAATATTTTATACATTGTACCCCGTGAGTTTTCAATTTATATTTATTGCTATGATTCGCAGTAAAATTCAACAGCTAGAAATGTGGTCATTATGAGAATGAGGTTTGTAATTCTTTTTAAGGAGAAGAATACACCTTTTTGACTTACATGAAGAATATTTCAAAATATGATTCATTTGTGAAGGATCCTTAATGAGAGTAATATCATTAAATTTCATAACAAGTAGCAACCTAAAAATAGCATTCAAAATTGTTTTCTATTGTTATTATATTCAATTTCAAATAGTTTGTAAATTGAGTGGCTGATTTAAAAAAACTGATGTGAACCCACAGTCATTGGTTTACAAGCTCAGAGTTCTACCAAACTAGTTATACATTAGCATAACACAAAGCTACTCTCATTTTGTTATTAAGTAGGCAACTTTTAAAAAATGTCAATTTCTCTGCCACATTAAAAATTTCAGGTGGATTACACCCGATTTCACATTCCAGATCAATGCTTTTATCTTTGTTGATTTTTAGAAACTAAATATTTTAAAACAAACTATCAAAATAATACTAAACAATCAGTTATTCCAATCACCAGAAATGTGATACTCTTCTCGACGCGTGTTTCACCAACTAAGTTGGTGTCTTCAGGAGATGAGGAAGTTTTCTTCATCCAACCAAGTCGGTGTCTTCAGGAGAAGAAGAAATGTTGTTCATCTCCTGAAGACGCCAACTTAATTGTCGAAACTCGCGTCGAGAAGAGTATTGCGTTTCTAGTGATTAGGAAAACTGCTTATTTTGGATTTAGTCTATGTCAGAAATTCCAGTTTTCCTTTTTTCTCAGATTGATTATTGTGTTTGATATTTGAAGACATTTTGAGGTACTCAGGAATTCACCTTTTTTTTTTAATGAAACCAAAAATTTCAGTTTTGATTATAAACTCACTTCATAATACTTTGTCTACATTCATTTTGACTGTTTTCAAGTAGCTATTTTTGGGAAAATATTTTCCAAGTCATTTTTCCAACCTAAATCATTTTATGTCTAATTGAGTTAGCACTAAAATTTGTTTTATCATTCAAGTATGTAGGAACATACCTATCCCAGGCTTCCTGTTTTTTTGTTCAATTGTCTATTTTACTAAATTTTCCGATAACCTATTTCAAGTTACTAAATTGTTATAACGTTTACAGGTGTCTACTCAACTCAGCAAATACTGATTTATAAAGCTAACCTTCTGTCCAAAAGCTTCAATGTTATCAATCTGGTTTATTAACTTTGGATGAAATTGGTGTTTATACCAGGGTTAATATTGATTTTAGTAGGTAGATAGTTCGAAAGTGAATTGGTCTATTCAAATTCGACCAAACAAACCCAACTTCTTAACAAAGCCAAATACTTTATTTGGTGAGTGATTTTTCAGGTAAGCTGGCAAGAGTGAATCGATATCAAACAGTGAAAACTGGATCCGGACCATGGGGAGCAAGCACAGAGGATGTGCTCTGCTATCGGTACTTTAATCTCCTCGAATCCACTTCGAAGTTGGCAGACCATACCATCTTTGACAGCCTTGATGACATATTGAAGAAATCCCTATTTATTAGTCGATTTTCAAGTTGTCGAATGTTCGAGGTGCAAGATTCCCACCTTGATGCCTCAGCAACCTACCCATATGAACAAAACACAAGCACTACAGAAAAATCCTTAAGGCGCTCTAAGAGCGGTGCCTATGCGAAAGTAGCGACACACTTAGCGTCGATCCCTTTGATGTTGGTGTCCAGGAGTTTCAGTTTTTACAATGCTGACGTATTTGACACTAATGACATTTCTCCCTACTACAATCTCAACCAAAGCGTTTAAACACTGCTCAACATAACAACTATTCATATAAACTGCTCAAAAAAATACAGTCGATGAAAACCATGTTGGAAACCTGAGAAAATTGTACAAATGATAATTTTGCATTTGTAATATTCAAGTAACCCAGATCATTTGGACAATGATGAACTATGTTTCAAGTAGATTTTAAACATTCATGGGATCGGCAGATGTTCATATTTGGATGTGACAAAATATATTTTCATTTCAACAAGAAAAAAGAGTAGATGAAGAATGAGTTTTGTTATTCATGAACCATGGTACGAATCCATGCGAAATTTCTCTGTAGTGATTTTTGGGGCCAAATATAGCATATTAATAAGGGTATGCTTAGGGGCGGAGCTCCATACATGAAAACAATACTCCAAAAAAGGTCTTATCTGAGCTTTATAAAGCATCAAAAGTTGCTAAGGTGTGTACAGTTTTCTGGTTCGGAACAGTTTTCCATGCATTTGAGAAGCAGCCTTACAATACCAGCAACATGATTGTGTCAAGATATATTGGTGTCTTGGCACAATTAACCTCTAACAAACTTATCGAAGTGGAATTGTCTGTCCTGACATTATTATATCCGATTCGGAGACATTTATCTTTTCGGAGATGCTAGGTTCTTGTTGCATTGAATTGAACTTGGTTATTTTCACCTCAATTCGAAATCACCTCTAGACCCTCATTAAGATATGCAACCTTCTGCTGTCTGAAGATGTACATCCATACAATGGAATTACGAGACAAGTGTGCTGTCGTCAACAAAGCAATATATTGTGTTTTTTTTTTCAATAAGTCGTTGATATAAAATAAAAAGAGAGTTAAAGACAGATGGATCCCTGGGGAACACCAGCGTTGATAGTAAAATTATTCGAGAGATATCCATTGACGGCCACTTATAGGCAATGTTCTTTCAGGAAGCTGGAGAGCCATACACATTCATACAGTGTGTCAAGAAGCAGTGCTTTTTACTTCTGAATTGGGTGAATTCATTATTAAATGAAAGCGTTTGCTGATCATTCAGTGGAAGTTTGTTTCTTCTCCAAATGCAGATTCTGCTTCTGCTGCTCAAAAATTTAATGCAAGCCGGATTCATAGAATATCCTGCTCTTGAGGAAGAGATGAGTTGCTTCCTTGTTACATTGCCTAGCCTACTAGGTTTGTTAACGGGATCAAGAGTTTGAGAGATGGGAAGCTCTTGCTCTCGATCCGATTTTACAGAAAGAACATATTAAGTGTATACAGGTGACTACTGATTAAATGATAGTTTGAACAGCATCATATACATTGTCCAAAAGTGTTGCATACATTATCCAATATCTGGAACAATCCTCAACAAGAAAACTCTTTACAAAATAAAACTATTGAATGCATACTCAGAATCAACAGTGAATTTGTATAAACCAAAAAATTTATTAGATTTGAAAACAAAAAAACTCGTTTCACCCATTAACAAATAAAAAAATCAAACATAAATTTCATAGAAATCAATAATAATCATAGTCATAACACTGGACAAACAAAATTATTACCAGTTGATAATTTCAAATCTAATTTTGAAAAGAAATCAATTTAAAGTACTCTACTTACAAATTTTTTCTCAAGAATTGTTATACTTGTGAATTATTATTTTTTCATTTATATTATATTATTATATTTTCTATTTATTTTCTTTTACAGCTCTGGGCCTTGCATACCTGATATATGACCAAGCTGAGAAAGAACATCACAGATTGATGTTGAAAAATCCAGCAGATTATGAGAATGATGAATAATTATTGATTTTAGGTCGTATACAATTTTAGTAAGCTCTACAGTGTTTAAATATATCTCTATGTAACTAAACTTTAGTTTCATTTCACTTCTCTGTTAATAACTTACATGTGTTAAAAAGGAGTTTTTATGTAAACATTTTTAGACATATTGCCAAAAACCTGTCTGAATATGTTGTCTTGCATGATATTCCTGACAATAAGACAAGGACAATTCGACTTCTATGTATTTATATTAAAAAAATAATTCTTCCACATATCCCCTATTGAAAAATTAATATTTCCTAAAATTCTACCATGATAGTGGATAAAACTGATCTATATACCACGGGGTAACTGAATCTAAACTAAAAGAAACATTTTATTCACAGGCATTCATCATTGAAGAGGTATTAAAAATGTACAATATAGACTTTATTTCCAATAAGGGTTTCAAAGCACAACAGTAGTTTCCTTCCTTGGACTGATACCCGACACTAATTTACAAATTATGGTCCTTATTTGATATAGATTACTAATTGGTAGCCAGGTAGTTACAAGAATAAGTTGCCTGCTGGCTACTTGTTCTTATATACCTGTTTACCACTTAGTAATCTTATTAATTAGGGTTGATAATAATTTGTATAAATTTGTTGAATTCTAAATTAGTGTTGAGTGCCAGTTCAACTGAGGGAACTATTGTAGTGATACGCGTTATTGGAAATAAAGTCTATATTGTGAAACTTGTAATTATAATATCAATTTCCTTTTCCCAATTTAATTTTTTTTTCCTTGGGATCCTGTTGGAGGCAGCGTTTCAGGACTGTAATGCTTCGCCGCTGCTCCAAAACTAAAAAGTCTATGTATTCCTTATACAGTGTGACCCATTTTTAATGGAAACACCCCCCTAAAATTTGAAGTTGTATGAAATAGACGGTACAATAAATACGAGTTTCATCTGGACTAAATTAAAATATGATCATCAAGAATCAGACAAAGCTATAGTACATGCTATAATCCCTGGAATGAGCTGGCATATTGCACCAAAAGGGGAGCAGAGCAAAAAAGGAAGAATGGAAAATGAGTTTCTTAGGTTATGTCATGTTTTAACCCAGAATTTTAGGCGAATTATCAAATTTTAATTATTGTTAAAATGACTCTTCGTATGAGTAAAATCGGCAGAAATATTGTTAGATACACCTTAGATTCAGTTTCACCATTCTCTACAACCATACCAAAAGTGAAAAATAAAAAAGGGGAATTGGTCATTAGTTGTAAACGTAATGAGTTGAACCATTATAGTTCGGTGCATTACGGTAATCTGGATGAAGTACCTTTAGCTTCAAAAGGTTGGAATCATTCGAAAGCTAAAGGAGACTTCTTTACTGTTCTTCCTAGTCAGAATCAGCCTGAAGAGAACATGTATTCCTTCAATGATATGGGAATACATAAAAACATCATTGATGTAATGAAGAAAGAAGGAATAGATAAAGCAACAGAATTCCAGTATAGGGCCGTTGAAGGTGTTAGATCAGGTGCGTATTCATTGAGGTGACAGATTCAGTTTGTTTATATTTAAAATCTTCATTATCTGTTTAAAAAAATCCAACTGGTTCACTTAAACTTTATTAACTCCAAGAAACTTGAGTTAAAGATAACGGATTCAATAATATTTTGCAAAAAAAATCAATGTTTTTATCATGTTGGCCCTATAAAGACCTCTTAATGCACTCATGAATTTTTTTCTAACAAAGTTATCTGTGATCGATAGATTTCAGTATTTGACTTCCGGCGTTAAACAGTGGAACAGTCAATAATGTTCTACTGTTTGTATATTTTAGACCCATTCAAACAGTTCAAGTGAGGTGTATAAGGCAGGCTTTTTTTACTTCAATACATAAAGGAAGTCTTACTTTACCTTCCATATTTTAAGTTTAAACTAAGTTTGATACGCTAGGAACAAAAAAATAACTCTGAGTGATACATTTGAATTATGTATTATTTACTCTTGGAAGTTATTTTATTCTTTTCTCATTCATTCAGAGATATATATTAGTTAGAGACTATCGATAAAGAATTTGTTGATATCATAAATGTCGGAATTGAAGAGATATCAGACAAAATCACTTTTTCATATGGAATGATTCTATGGAATTGCAATTTTTCCCCAAATACAGGTAATTTAATTTCAAGTGACAACATTCATGCACAAGCATAGATCTGAGGTCTGAATATACTCTTGAGAGTTTCCCAAAACACAATATTATGAATTCTGGCATTAATTTTTTTATCATGAAAACTATTAGCCCCAATATCAATTTGTGTGGAAAAGCACACTTCATAATTTATTGAGTGGAGTGCGGTTTACACATTTTCTTCATACCAAATGATCCTATAATGATGTGATTAATCTGTTGAAAATATGTTTTTCCATTATCCAGCTGTTGACAACTGTCAGGAGTCGAAATGTGTCAATGTTATGGTTTGTCGGATCATTTTTGTGTATGGCTTGCCAGCTTCCTGAAAGAATGTTTCCTGCAAGTGACCGTCAATGGATATCTCTTGAAAACTTATACCATCAACACTGGTGTTCCCCAAGGATCCATATGGTCTCCAACCCTCTATTTATGCTATATCAAAGACTTATTGACAAGAATCCAAACAAAAACAAGAATCCAATTTTTGCTTTGCTGACAATAGCACACTTGTCACGTCATTCCATTTGGATTCCTGGACATTGGCTGCGGATGCACATCTTCACCGGCAGCAGGAGGTTGCATATCTTAATGACGAACTAGAAGTGATTTCGAATTGGGATGAAAGTAATTAGGTTTTTTCCAAAAACTATTTCTCCAAAAAGATAAATGTCTCCGAAGCGGATATAATAATGCCAGGACAGATAATTCCGCTGTCTGCTTTGTTAAGTTTGTTGGGGGTTAAAATAGACACCAATATGTCTTGGCACAATCATGTTGCTGAAATTGCAAAGGCTGCTCCTTGAAAGCTTGGAACACTGTTCCGAACCAGAAAACTGTATACACCTCAGCAACGTTTGATGCTTTATAAAGCTCAGATCAGACCTTCTTCGGAGTATTATTCTCGTGTATGGAGCTCCGCCCCCAAGCATACCCTGAAGCTGCTGGATTCCATCCAGAAAAAAGTCATTCGCCTGATTGGAGACGCGAACATCACTTGCAACCTTGATAGCCTGGAACATCAAAGAAAAGTTGGAGATTTGTTTCTCTTCTATAGATACTTTCACGGGAAGTGTTCAAGTGACTTGGCACATTTGATTCCACCATATCAGAAATACGCGACGGACTGTGACTGCTCATAGTTTTGAAGTTCAACTCAGTACACCTTGAACTTCACTGTTTAAGAACTCTTTCATTTGGAGAACTGCGTTTATGTGGAATGAACTTCCTGAGAACATTTCTCCAAATGAATTTAATCTCCAGCGATTCAAATCCATTGTGAATCGCTACTTTCGTACAGGCACCGCTTTTAGAGGCGCCTTAAGGATTTTCCTGTAGTGCTTGTGTTTTGTCCTTAAAAAATGCGATTTCTAGTATTTATAGTGTAGAAAGTATTTACAAAGACATGTTGTTTCTACTTCTGCAAAAATCACACGAACTACCTACTGAATAGTTGTCTCTATAAACAAATCTGAATTTATTTTTAGGGAAGAAACAATTCTAAAAAATATTTATGTGTTATTAGGGGATCATGTCATGTTAGCGGCTGAAACAGGATGTGGAAAAACTCTTTCATATCTCCTACCTATTATTCATGACTTATTAGAAAACAAAGCTACAGCTCCGAATACTCCCAAGGCTGTTATCATAGTGCCAAACAGAGAATTGGCTTACCAGGTAGGAGAAGTTGCTCGAAATCTCTCTGACAGTGTTGGACTCATCTCTAAAATTGTTATTGGGGGCCGAACAAAATCGTTGATGATGAACCCAGTTTTTGAAGATATAGATATTCTTGTTGCTACACCAGGATCCCTTGGAAAACTCTCTACCGTAGGAATATATAAACTAAATGAGGTTTAGTATATTTTTGATAATGCTTTACAAAATTCTTGCAACCAAAAAATCAGTCACTGTTTTTTATTCATTTTAAGGCCAAATACACAGTCTTAGATGAGGCCGATACATTGATGGATGACAGTTTTGTAGAAAGAATCTCTTCGCTAATACGAAGGTTATCCCAGTCTCAAATGATTTTAGTCACAGCAACCTTACCAAGGACTTTCCCAGAAATACTGGTATCATATGAAAATTCACTGAGGCATGTGGTGTCTTCAAAAATACACAAACCGTTACTCAATATAACTCAAAAATTCCTTAGGCTAACGTTATCTTCAAGGGCAGCCAATTTACTCCAGATGGCAAAAAAAAATAAAGATCCCATGATTGTATTCTCAAATAGAAATCAGACTTGTAATTGGGCAGCTCTGTTTCTCAATGAGAATGGAGTAAGTTGTGCGAATATAAATGGTGATATGCACCAGGCACTTAGAATAGAACAATGGAACAAGTTTGTGAGTGGACAGGCTCAAATACTGTCAGCTACAGATGTTGGCAGTAGAGGTCTCAACACCATTCAGGTGAAGCATGTTATCAACTACGATTTTCCCTTGTATGCTGCCGATTATTTGCATAGAATAGGAAGAGTAGGAAGATTGGGTAGTCACAGTTCATGCAAGGTAACAAACTTTATCGTCGGCCAAGAGGAAATAAAACTAGTTCAACAAATTGAGGTTAGTAAAAGTTGAGGATTGTATGTGTCTTTTGAGAGAGAGGAACCACCATATGCATTTAATAATTAGAGCTAAAGTGTCTAATAAATGAAATCACTTTTTCCATATTGAAACCAAAGCACTCTCAGTGCAGAGAGACAAAACGTTAATTCTGGTGTGGAAAAAGTGAAGTCTTTAAATTTATTTTATGCCAAAGGTTCCAATTCTACCTACTAAGAGAAAAAGTAGTTGAAAAATAAAATACTTCAATACTAAAATATTTTTTCCTAAATAAATTGATATATGTAGCCGTTACTATGTGGAGATGTGGTAGGACATCATCATGAAAAATGATAATATTTTCTATGTTTTTATACTCGCCTTTTTCAGAGATACTGTACAACAGCTGAATCAATTCTTGATATTTATAAATATTCTTAATAGAAACATACAGTTTACACTCAAAACAGAGTTAGAACTGACCACCACACATAATCATAATAAATTAGAGTTAAGTATATTCAGAAAACCGAGCCATACAGACATTACAATCCCAAGTGATTCTTTCCATCTTGACGGATATAAATTAGCAGCCTACTATTCAATATTACACAGAGCATTCTCGTTACCTTCGTCTGCTAACAATGTAGATAGGAAAATTAAAACAAATATACAGATAGGACAGACTGATGGTTTCAACACAGTCACAATCCAAAAGTTAGTCAGAAAACGAAGCCTCAAATTTAAGTACAGATTAATATACTCCCAAATCAAATAATCAGAAATGAAGAAATTTGTAACTTTAACATATTTTGGTATGAGAACAGGGACAATTATTGTGGGATTTTTTAGAAAAAAACAATGTGGAAGTGGCATTCAGGCCGCATGCCAGGCTATCTAATTTCCTTTTTAATGCCAAAGATGGAGTAAACAAGATGGAGAAATCTGGAGTTTAAAAGCTTAAGTGTCCGGAGAGTAATAGTTTTTAAGTGGGAGAGTATGGCCAAAATTTCTCTAAACGGTATGCTGAACATGAAAGGTCCTTCAGACCAGGTCTAATCGCTGTTGTACAGGTTTATAAGGGTACACATTATTAATCATTTCAGTTTAATATATCTGTTTGAAAATATCCTTATACCACAAATACACGTGGTAGGAAGTTAATTCTCATTTTTCATATTTTTTACTGTTTCTTTTTTTGAATGTTGAAAAAATTTTGTATGGATTTCAATTCTTTAATCATTTTTATGACTTTATTTTTTTTATTGTAATAATATCTATGTGTGTACTGTGTGGGATAATAAATGATGAATATTTTTCAGCTTGCAATAAGGAGAAACCAACCTCTTGAAAATGTTGATGGAAATATAACAAAAATAGTACAAAGGAAAATAGCTAGGAAAATGAGTCAAAGTATTTGAAACTTGATTATTTATTTGTGAAGTACAGTTTAAGTTTTTAACTAGATTCGTTTTATTTCCTAGTAAAATATTTTTGACAAATATTTAAAAAAATAAAATGTTTCAAATGAACAGTTACAAAACCCATACATGCTTTTTAAAGAATCGTTCAAGGCTTTTGAATTAAACTGCTCATGTGAAAATGTCATATTAGTTTTTGAATACATTTGTCACGAATTTTTATCAAATAATGGCCAATTTATTTACAAATCCAACTAGTAATTGCTGGAGTTAACAGCATTTAGTGATACGTTTTCTGATACTGTAATATTTTGTTTGGTCTACTGAAAACACCTATGAAGAGGCAGTTAGTCTGAATATTTTTAACCAAATAACCTTAAGAATGCGGGTGAGACGTTCGTTCATAGAGTCATTTTGAGAAAATGAATTGTTTCAATTTGATATGACTCAACTGAACACTGAACACAAGAGGAACAACATATATTGTTCTGTACTAGAAATCATTATTTACCACACCGAACTGGAACAAAAGATATGCGAAAGTAGCATGTTCCTCTTCATATCAGAAGAGACAAATCCTTTGTTGTTGGTAGACTTATGTCATTGTATGATGACGTGTAAATAAACTCGAGATCTAGTCAATACTATTGATTATTAGAACAGACTCAATGGTTTGTTCTATTAATAAATCTTAGACAGTTCACTATGATTGTAGATATGGTCCAGTAAAGCTGGATGATGTAGTTCCTAGTTGTCTATGCACATTGTGTATAGTCGAAGTAACCTGTATTGCAGTGTTTCTCAAACTTTTCGAATTCACGGCTCCCTTATGTTTTTTGAAGGTTATCGCGGCGCCCCGAACGTAAAGACTGCACTAGATATTTAATTAATAGAAGTAGGTAGGTGGCTGTCTGGAACGGATTGCATTTTGCAATTACCGATATTATCATATTATCAGAGGATTTTTATTAATAGGTACCGACGTGTTACCTTTACTCTCAGTTATCTATGTTGTAAAACGTTGTACCTTGAGACTCACCCGTGGCCCACGGCGCCCCAGGGCGCCGCGGCGCACACTTTGAGAAACACTGCTGTATTGTGAATAGTTTAAGCTATCGGCATCTCAAAGGCAAAAAAAACCAATACAAAGAAATAATGCCGATGCCAACTAGTCCACGTGGACTGAAGAATTGGCTTTGCCTTTTATACCTGAAGATAACCGCCATCCTGCATTAAGTATCTAAATAGCTGATATACACATCAAAGAAAAGAAATTCAAGTTAAACCAATCAAACATCACATATAACTTCAGGAAAGCGAACTTTCCATCTTTGTATGGAGATATAGAGGAAACTGATTGGAATAATTTAGGACGTTAATAAATTAGTCGTTAACCTATATTCAATTTTATATGGCATTTTTGAGGATCATATACCCAAATTCAAGTTTATCCTAAATGGTTTTATTCTGATATAAAGAACATTAAACAGAAGGCTAAATTCAGAAAAAAATTCAGGAAATTTAGACGTGATGAGGATAGATTTGAATTCCAACGTTTGTGTGCTTTGATTAAAAGCCAAATAAAAACCGCACATGATAACTATCTTGCAAACATACAAACAATGTTGTCTAGAGATCCTAGCAGATTCTGGTCATATGTTCACTCTAAGAATAACAGCACAAGAATACCAGGATCAGTAACCTACTTAGGAAACAAACTCGAGAATCCTCAAGATATTGTTGATGCCTTCAGTAATTTTTTCAGTGAGGTGTATT